AAAGCTTTTCTAATGCTCACCCGTTTTGGGTGTTCGTGGATGTTCGCTTGTTTTACAAATACCCTGATTATTTTGTCATGTTTTGATCAACAAGAAAAACTTGATCGGCATTTTGTTGAATATATATGAAGAATATTTTTCCAAATTGACGACAATGTCGTTTTCTGTTTTGTTTGCCTTCTATATATATGCTGGTCATTGCAGAATTTTTCAAGAGCATGAAAAATTTCGATGAGTTTAATTTGAAAAATATTAGTGAAACCGATGGGACACCTTTGAAAATTTTTGTTTTGTTCAATACTCAATCCAGTCCGGCTCACGAGATTTTTCATTGAAAAAATTTTCGGTCAATCGATATCTCTGCTCTAAACATATCCTCTACTTCAAAGTTTGATATACGTGATAATTATTCTGAGAAAATATTCATTTTTCTACAATAAAAAAGAGAAGTCAATTGTGGATTGTTGACATTTTTATCGACAAAGATCGAAATTGATCAATAAAAGAAGAAGAATATTTTATATTTTACATTATAATCTTGATGGAATCGAATTGAAAGATTCCTTATATTTAACTTGTAGAAGATATTAAAAAAACCAGTGAAATAACATGATGACTACACTATGAATGTGTCGATAAATCGAAGAAAAGTAAGTTGATTATCAATGTAAGTCGTCATAAATGAGAAGAGGAAAAAGACAAAATAAAAAGTTTTGTTATCTTCATATTTTTTTTTGTTGTCTCTGTGTAATAAATCATTTTGAAAAAGTGAAATATAAAAGAATAGATTGTTAATCTGTTTAATAATATTATTCAATGTGACATATAATTAACAATAATAAAAAAATAATTTTCTCAATTAAAATAATTTAAAATAAGAAAGAGTCTGATGAAAAAAAGTTTTTTGATTTATCTATAATTTCGTTGATTTATTCTGTGAATTGTCTTCGATAGATTTAATTGAATTTTGTTGTTGTTGTTGTTGTTTTATTTCATTTTCATATCGAATTAATTCAATAATAAAACCATAATTAGGAGCAGCAATTGGTCGTCGTTCAAGTAAATATTCATAAGCTTTTTCTAAAGTTAATTTATCAATACTAAAATAAATAAAATAATATTTATATTAATTGAAAATAAAAAAAAAACCTGATTAAATATGCAAGAATAATTGAAGATGATCGAGATATTCCAGCTTGACAATGAACTAATACTTTATCATTGTTTTGTTTACATTTCAATAAAAATTGATTTGTTCGATCAAAATGTTTTCTAATAGATCCTTGAAAATGATCATCTAAATCTTTTATCCATAAAACTTTAAAAATCTGATGAATTTCATTATCTAATGGACAATCACATATATTTATTATATATTTAATATTAAGATCCAAAAGTAAATTAATATCAATAGCATGAGCTAAATCTCCATGATAAAGAAAATCATCAATTATAATAGATGGTTTATCTTGATTTATTCTGTATTCAATCATTTTTTCTTTTTGAATTTTTAATAATTTTTCTAAATATTTTAATTCATCATCAGTTGCATTTAATTCATTTCGTAGACGATCTTTTATTGATTTATCTATTAAATCATTTATTTCTTCATGATTTTCACTCATATCAATTATCTAAAATAAATTTAACATTCCATTTTAGAATATTTTATTTTTTTGTTTTATATCAAATAAAATAATATTCTTTAACAATTAATTATATTGATTATTAGCAAAATTTTTTAAAACAAATATTTTTATTCATTTATTTCAAACTGGTTTATTTGATTAAAAAAAAACAAAAGGAATTTTTTAGATAAAATAAATCGAAAAATGATATTGGTGAATTTTTTTTAACCAATTCAAAAAAAAAGAAAACGACCTTTGTTGGTTAGCGACATTAAAAATCTATTCTATCGACATTATTCGACAAAAGATCAATAGTTACTTACAAAACTAAAACTAAAACGATATATACAATAAATGATTAGACTTTTTTTGTTTATATTTTTTTTCTACATCGATTTTATTCGTCTAGGTTTGGTTTCCTTGTATGAAAAATATTTTGACCATTTTACATTCTAGAAATGTCAGTCTCAAAAAAATGATTTTTAATTGAAGAGATAACTGACCTTTACAACTTAAATAAAAATCGAATTTTAATTTAAACCACTAAATAAATGTTTATCTCTATGTATATATACTCATTTTTCCAATTATTTCATTGAAATATTTCATAAGAAGTAAATAGAAATAATTTTCTCGATTAACGATTCATTATCCACAGATTTTCAATTTATTTTAAAATTCACTTGAAATTTCTATGATTTTTTGTTTTTTTTTTGAGAATAAATTCTTCTTATGTAATGATATTTTATTTCATAGTTGATCTATTACCATAGATTATAAAGAGATATTTTCAGTGAGATCGATTATTCTCGAATAAATATAAATGTTTCGACAGATGGAGAGAGAGAGAGATCTTCATTAAAAACAAATTTTAATAAGATAAATATAAATTTAAATTAATCATTATAGATTGAACGATTATTTTAATGTTCAATTGAATTTTCTATAGGAAAATTTTCAAATAAATATTCTATTAAACGATGAAAAAACAACAACAAACTATCGACATATATATTTAAATATTTTCAATCAATAAATATATATGTATCGAGTTAACTAATTAATGACAACAAAAAAAAAACAATTCAATATTATTTATGTAGAAACTTTTTTTTGTTTTCTAGCAGAAATTGTTTTAAAATAATTCGATTTTTTTGAAGATATTTAAAATAAAATTGATGAATTTTCTGTTTTTGAAGATCAATTTAATATAATCAATAATTAAAATAAAGTTAAATCATATATTGTTTTATAAAACACAAAACAAAACAAAATAAAAATACTTATCTTGTTAAATTTTTCAAAAAACAAAAAACTTTTCTTTTACTGATTTTCAGATTAAATAAAATAAATATTTATTTAACCATATAGTTTTTAATAAAGAATTTTTAATAAAATTCTTTATTATTTTAAATAAAAATATTCATTTGAATTCTTTCGAGAATATTCTTGCATTATTCCTATATTTAACTTGGAAAAATAAAATAAATTATATTCGTTTGTTTTATCTTGATATATATATATATATATCACGGACAGTTTTTTTTACTTAACTTCATTTCTAACTACATTAATACACAAGCAGCGTGCTTGTTTTATTCATATTCTTCTCAAAAAAAAAACCAAGCAAGTTCAGAGAGGTAACTAAAAAAAATAAAATTTCAAAAAAAATCTAATCAAGAAAGAATTGTTTTTGTTTTTGTGAGTTTATTCGAAATAATTGAATATAATTGA